GGGTTTGTGTTGGAAACCTGATATGGTATGTGCTAATAAGAAATTGCCTCTGTTATAAATTCCAGATTTGCAAATATACTTTTCTTGCTGTTTCTCTCTCTGTGTGCACAGCAGTGCCGTACACCTCACTCACTCCTCCCTCACTTCTGCTGGTTGCTTTCCGTTTTAGTGTTTCTTTTTGCCCTGTCATCTCATTCCTTTACTCAGATGGAATAAGTAAGGCTGAACGTTTCTATTTTCCTCACTTGGCCCTGAAATTGCATTAATCCCTTATCTTTCTCAACCCTTTCTCCTTCCTCTTTCTCTTCCAGCAAGTGCCCATGTACCTTAGGAAGATGGGGTTCCTCTTTCCCTTTCTTTCATTTGAAAAGCATAAAATGTGACATCATACAATAATGGAAAACATGTGGATTTTGCAGTTAGACCTTAAGTTGAATCCCTGCTTCATCAGATGACTAGTTCTCTAGTTAGCTGATTAAGACTAGTAATTTGGGCAAGTTACTTTATCTCTCTGAACTTAAGTTTCCTTATCTGTAAAATGAGGATTATAATCCATATGATCCTTATAGAATCAATCAAATGAGATACTTGACATAAAGTAGTTGCTCAATAAATGTTAATTCCTCTCCTAAGTTACAGCTGGTAAACATGAAATTAGTGTTAGGTTTATACTTATAGAAGTTTTCACGTGGATTTAAGCATTGTGCTGTTAACACCTGCCTTTTGTACAGCACTTGACTTTTACGTCACTTATCTCAGTGTCATCAGCCACTGACACTGGTTCACAGTGCTCACTCAGAGGTCTCCTTTAGCATTTCCATGGTTCACTGCCTCTTCCTCATCTTTAAATCTGCTTTCTTCACATGTACTATTTTGATTTTGTTCAGTGATATTGCAGTAGTATAATTTTCTACTTTTTTTCAGTACGTAATTTTTCAATGTGTATTGCAGCTACCTTTTAGCCTAGCTAAGTTTAGTGGGCCTAGTCCTTATTAAAAAGTTAATGATGGGAAAATGTTTCCAATTTCCAAATAAGTATTAGTTAATTTTTTTAAGATATCCTTATTATATAAATTGGAAATTAATTTTTTAAGCTTATTGAATTCCCAAAATATTTGCTGATTTAGTGACTTAGTAGTACATTTCCCTTTATGCATATCATTGACTATATTTCATAAATCTTTTTCCATATTGTTCACACTTATTGTGAAAAGAGCAGTGTTTATTTTGACTTATCTCCTTTTGTTCTAAACCTTTTTGCTCTCTGATTATTTAAGCAGTGACTCTAATGTTTACTAGGAATTGTTTCTTTATGCATCTCAGTCTTATCCTTTAGTGTCCAAAAGTTTGTGAGGCATTTCTCAGGATAAAGGATTTCCCATCTTCATCTGTTCACCACGTGAGCTGTTCTAGTGACAGATGAGTTCTGGGCAGTGAATCGAGAAGGACACAGATGCCAAAGCCCTGAATTTATAAATGGTCTGTTAAGAGGGTGCTTTTGTCCAATCAGCTCTTTATTAATTTCACCTACGAGAAGGAATAATTATTCAATTACACTTCTTTCTGACAAAAATCAAATGACAGATGTGTCAGAATGTGAAGGTAAAGGGTTAGTCAGGATTCTGGCAGGTGGCCCATAATTTTAGCCAGCTGTGAGGAGGTGGATATAGAACCAAATTGATGTATAACACTGATTACAAGTCCTGTATGAATCTTCATAGATCTTACTAACTGAAAGATAAAAAATAATTTCATTTCTAAAGTCTAACATACAAAAACCGTGATTTTCTGTATTTTTATGAAATATCATTAACTTGAAAAATATACCTCAGTGCTACAAAAAGTAAAATCATACTCCTCTTTAGTTTGGTTCTTCTTATTACCAACATATTTTCAAAACTTTTTAATTAGTTTTAGTAAGTTGTAACTTTTCCTTATGAAAAAGTTATCCTTGTTTCTTAGTAGCATTACTAGTACATCATGTTGCGTGGTACAGAGCCAGAGGCCAGCAGACTTTTTCTACGAAAGGCCAGATAGCAAACGTTTTCAGCTTTGTAGGCCGTACGGTCTCTGTCCCAACTACTCAACTTTGCCGCTGTAGCGCAGCGCAGCCATAGACCATAGGTAAATAAATGTGCGGCAGTGTTCCAGTTAAACTTTGTCTACAAAAACAGGCAGTGGGCTGTATGTGACCCATGGGCCATAGTTTGCCAACCCCCATATAGAAACTGATGATATTTTTAAATGTTTGACTAAGATTTTTAATAATATTCTAAAGTAGAAGAACTCTGTGAACTATGTTAAGTAACTTGAATGTCTGTGCACTGCACAACTCCAGATGATGTTCGGTTCACACAGACTACAGTGTGAATGGCCTTCCCTGAAGTAGTGCAGCATGGTGGCCCTGGTCATGACCTCTCTCATCCATTTCTCCCTCATCTGAATTAGGGGTATCTATATTTGGCCTGCTGTTTGTTTTTGTAGATAAAGCTTTATTGGAACATAGCCACATATTTATTTATATATTGTCTGTGGCTTTCACACTATAGCAGCCGAGATGAGTAGTTTCAGTAAAGACTGTATGGCCCACAAAACCTGAAATAGTTATTTTACAGAAAATGTTTGCTGACCCCTGGTGTATACCTTTGTTATGTTCTTCTTTAAGGATGAAATTACAGAGCATAATGTGGGAAAGCTTCTATGATTGTTATTTTAAGTCTGACAACGGATATATAAAGAAGCTGCCAGATATCTAAAGTTGTTTCAGAATTCTTTTTCTTCTTCTTGTTTCTCGTCTTAAGGATTTAGTTCAAGAAACTAAACGTATTTTCCTGTAGCTCATACTCTTGATGGGTCAATGTTTTCAATAATAAATCAGTTACTTAGAAGAATTGGTATCAATCAGGAGTTTAAACACAGTCAAGAGATTTCCCATGTCTGTGGAGGAAGATGAGAGGAGAGGAACTCAGTTTACATGGCCGTCGACTCCAGCCCAGTGCAACTATCAACATCTGCCTCACAGGCCCCCTTAGGGAGACTTGAGAAACTTCTTATCGGTGACAGAGCACCAAGTATTTCTTCTGGGTATCTCACACAGATAGGTCAGGTTTGGAAGAAGCAATTGCTTTGATGCCAGCAGATCTTATCATGGGCTTTATTTGGAAAATAATTTAGTGCTGCTGTCATTGGATAATAAAATTCCTAAGGCTGTGGATAGAAGCAAAGTTTGGGGGAAGGTGAGGGTTATCTCTACTGTTTAAGTTTGAAGGCTAGTTAATGATCATGAAATGATTTCTTTTATGCGTAAGTACTTTCTGTCTATTGATATAGATTTTGATGTGATTTATATTTTGATTCATGACTCCCCTAAATCGTGAAGGACAAAATTAATTTTATTTATTAGTCAAAAAAAATCAATATTATTTTAAAATTTTGTGTTACAAAGACTTTTGCTTGATGTTAGAAGAGTTTCTTCCTGAATCACTCTCTTCCCTTACCTCTCTTAACACTTACTCTCTTGGCTTTCTTCTGACTTCTGTGGCCCGAGCTTCTCAGCCGTTTCTTCTCAGCCTCCTTTTCTTCTACACATTTCTTAAATGCTAGCACTCATCATGTGCTCTCCCCAGGTGACCTCATGAGCTCCCGTAACTTACGTTTCCAGTTATATGCTCACAGTCCCAGATTTATATCCTGAAACCCAGGTCATCTGACTTGAATTTTCGGCCTGTATGTTCCGCTGCTTATTGAGTGCGTTCACCTGTGTGTCTCACAAGCATTAATCTCTCATATTCCTCTTGAATCTGTCCCTATTTATTCTGTGTTGTAATGGTGAGTACCCCAATCTGCCCAGTTGCTAAAGCTAAGAACTGTTATTCTTGACTCCTCCCTCTTCCTCACCTCCACATCCAGCCAATCTTACAGTCTTACGAGTTCTCCCTCCTAAATACCCCTTGGTTATATCTCCCCCTGTCCATTCCCATAGCCATCACTCTACTTCAGAGTGCTTGGATTAGTACAGCTGTCTCCTGTTTTGTCTCTGTCTTAGTCTTGCACCCTCCCATTCACTCTCCACATTGCACTCCAGAGGGCTTTTCTAAAACCAAAATCTGATCAAGTTGCTACCCTATGTAAAATTTTTCAGGGGCTTGTCCTTATTCTTAGAATAAAGTCAGTTTACTAATGTGGTTTGCTCAGCCATGTTTTCTTTAATCCCTACTTACATTTGTAGCCTTACATCTCATTTTCCCTCAAATTGGAGTGTATATTGTGACTCTATATGCACACTGCTCACTCTGCCTAGAACACTCTTTCCTTCCCCTCTCCTAACTTACTTGGTCTTTAGTTCTTATCTTATATAATACCCTTGTTTCCCTGCTATGACCAAATCTGAATTAGCTATTTTTGCTTTCACCTCCCTTAGTACCTTATACTTTTCCTTTCTTAGTATTTATTACCTCACAACTAATTGCCCATTTATTTGTCAAAATTGTCTAAATACAAGTTTCTTGAGAATAGGGATGTGTATCCACAGTCTATAAATTAGAGTAGCTTATCTAGAACATACTTGATAATCATAAATATTTCCTTTTTGTAATAAATGAGAGGATAATATGAACTAGTCTTCTGCACAACTATAAAATTCCATCACATGATTTTTTTTACATGTTACATATATTTGTAAATGGTTTATGTCTTTTGCATGTTTCAGAGGAATATATAAAGTAAAGATCTAGCACCTTTTTAAAGTCAGCATATTGTAAGTTTAATGTTAATAAATATGTTCATTTTAGGATTATTTAATTGTGTCATCCTGTTTTAATTATTTTAATAGGAATCCATAATTGAAATCCTTACTTTAATCTTACCGTCATAGTGATGGAAATCTTTTTTTAGAGAGGCTGCAAGATGGAATTTGAGTATTTTATATTTAGTCTTTAAAACATTGTGTTTTGTCATAAAGGGAAATAATGCTAAATTGTTGGGTATTTTATTTGTTACAGTCTACCCTGATATTTGCACCATCAGCCTTGTGGCAGTAAGTGACATGGATAAGCATGCTGATAGAATTGCTTTTTGGGATGATGTCTATGGCTTCAACATGTCCTGCATGAAAAAAGCAGTTATTCCAGAAGCTATTGTGGAGATTTTAGATCCGAAGACTCTTATTTCAGACCCTTGTAGTGTTAAGGTAGGTGTTTTTACCAATGTTATTTTCTTGAACAGTATTGCCTGTTTTTCTTAGTTTTCATTTGTGAGTTCAGTATTTGAAATTAATATATTGATTTTATATATGGGCCTTCAAAACAGTGATTATTCTTTGTGTTTTAATCAGTCTAAAGCAACTTGAAGTCATGATATTTACCAGCTGACTGTATCATCCCTTTGGAATCACTTCTCTCTGTATATTGAAGTTCCCGAGGGGTTGAATCACTTACTTTGGCTTAGTGAAGGCAAAAAGTCCTGTAGTATTGTCATTTCTGCTTCATCGCCACCTCCTGGCCTTATAGCTTCTCGTTTACAGCCAGATTATTCATTCATATCATATATTCCACACTATTTAATGTCTCTCATTCAAATTTCTTTCAGCCTTTTCAGATTAAGTAATTACAGTGAATTTGCCCATGAAACTAAAGCCCTGCTATGTTCGGATTTCTCAGTTAATTCCTTTTGTGTTTTAATATCTTATTGTTTAACATGTTAATTTCCAGTTTTGTGAATTTTGCTATGTTGAATTTACGTGGGTTGAATAATAACTTTGCAGGGAAAAGTCATATTGCTTTTCTTAAAAACTCCTTAATTTATTTCAATTAGATAATCAAATAAATATAGCTTGTTAGGTTCAGACATTATCTCCTCTTTTTAGTCGCACTGTTACTTTGATAGCATCAATAATTGTTCTCTGCACAAAGAAGATATTCAGTAAATGTTCATTAATTTTCTTAAATGGATAAAGTATTTAAAATTAGCATAGATTAATTAATAAACACGTGAATTTTCTCAGTAAGAGCAAGCTGATTAAAATTGCATTCAGCTTTTAAGAAAAAAAGTACAGCCTGCTTAATGATTATAGGACTGTTCAGCACTATGGTACACTTACAGTAAGGGATTTATTTAGATTCTTTGGCTCAGGGTAGGACTATACAGTTATAGCCAATTCAGCCTTAAGGCTGAGCAGAAAGAGGAGGGTTGTGGTGTGGGGGTTGTGGGGTACAAATTTCTTTCTCTAGTGATCTCTTTGCTTAATGCCAAAAACTGCTGTGAAGAAATAGTTGAAGTAGAAAATTTAGGACTGAAAACCGAAGGTGTTTAGAAAAAGTATACATACCCTTTTTTTAAAAAAAAAAACATTAATCATTATTTATTTGCTTGTTTAGGTAAATATAGTTTGTTCTGTGTTCCCCAATCCTCCTACAAATAAAATGCAATCACATTGTAATTTCTTTTAAATTTTCTCAACTATTTAAAATAGAGTAATGCCTCAGGTAGGTAGTCATATGAATTGTGTTCACTGTGTTATAGTCTACTCATGGCAAGTCAGCTGTTAACAGCCTTTACAGCATCCTTCTGGTCACACTGCAGGAGCTGATTCCATCTACTCTCCATAATGAAATGGAGAAGGATTTGAACCTAGGCAGAATGGAAAAATAAGGATATTTGACCTTTTTTTTTTGAGTTGAATCTTCAGACTTTTTTTTGCTCTTTGGTTGGAATTGTGATTTTTCCTAATATCTAACAAACTTATCTTCAAATGCAATTACAAAAATGAATTCTAAAACACCTTGTCTTTTTCATTAGCATATGTTTTCAAGTTGGCATTTCCTATAAAAATATTGAATGTTATCAAACAATTTATAGCAAATGTGTACCACTGGTGGTGTACAAAATGATTTTGGTTGGAATACAGGAAAACAGTTTTTGTTTGAAAGTATTTTAGTGTCTCTTAGGAAAACTTGAGCACATTAGAGCCATGATTTGATATATACTATTCTCACAAGAAGGCTAAGTAAAAAAATACTAATTTTATTTAAAGAAAAATTAACTAAAGGATAGCAGCCCTTAAGTTTGGAAACAGTCTCAAAAGTGGGATGTGAATGATTAAAGTTTGCAAAACATTGGTTTACAGTAATCCTTTTTGCATAAAAAAAGTAATATTTGTTTTTGGTTTTGTTTTTACTATTTTTACTGAGTTCTTCCCTCCACTCTTTTAATGGGTAGCATATAGATTGCCATACGACATCTGTCTCAGATTTGGAGTTTTCTTCAGATTTTACCCTGAAAATCACAAAGACATCCTTGTGCACGGTAAGCTATTTCCTTCTCTTTCACAGATTTCATTAGCAGTGCAGTTGATTGGCAGGCTAATGAATTAATGACCAGGCTTGTGATAAATGAAAAAGACTATTGCCTTTGACAGTCTATGCCTTTGTTAGGCTATCAAACAGATCTGTTTTAATAGGTCAGTAGACTTCAGAAAAGTTAGTTTAGTTCAGAAGAAAAAGTATTAGGAAGTCATGTTTACATATGATTTTTCTTTATAGATTCTTCATTATCACCTATCACGTAATTAATTGAGAGCACTCATCTTTATCTTCACAGACAAAAGCTCATGTCCTGCTCCTCCCAGTAACTCTCTTAACACTCAAGTTAGATGGAAGTAAGATATGTTTATTTGGTATAATATTTTATATTCATGTGTGAAAAATAATAAACTGATGCACCTTTCTTTAAGACATCAGCCTGGTATAATAGAAAAAGTATGGGCTTTAGAAAAGTTAAACAAATTGGGATTCACTTTAGGTTCTACCACTCTTTAGTTTACTTTATTCAAGTTACCAAGGTGATCTGTACCTCAGACTAATCAACTGCTTTAAGAAAAATGGTAATAATTCTTTCTATCCTGAAGACTAGTTACACAGATTGATGAGGTAATATAAGTGAAAGCACCTACAATGTAACCAGAAATGTTAGGTTATTAAAATATATTAATTTTTTTCTTAAATAATTTCCAAATGTATATTAATACTAAGATAACAATATTTGCCTTTACCAGGAGATTCAGAATATTAATAAAATATGGGTCTGTACTTAAGAAAGTATAAATTTACATAGGTGGTATTGATATAAATATTTATATTATTTAAATAATTATATAGTTTTTAAAATACTAATGTCTTCAAAAGTTAAAATTTTTATGGAAAACTGTATTGTCAGAAATTGTGTAAAACAGATTATAGTCATGTTAACTTTGACTCTTCATCCTGATTCTTTTAAATATTTTGTTCAGATTGACATACAGAAGATTTTATGGCTTCTTTAAAATTGTTTCAGTTCATTTTGATCCAAAAACTATTTTGTATCCAAATGAGTTTAACAGTGCTTTGATGTTTTGAGAAATTCTTTTCACTGAAGTTGGTTTTACAATTTTTAAAAGTTAAATATCTATATTCCAGATTTATGATTTGGGGGCACCCATTATATTCATTCATTTAATTGATGAAAAGCAAGTTTCATTCTTCCCATTCATTTCCTCCAGATTTTCTAATTTTGCTTTTTAGCAGCTGAAATGCTTTGGTCAATTGAAATTACAGGCTAAAGGCTTTAACTCGTAGACTTACTTTGTGTTTTGATATTAGGAATCCTTGAGAGTTAGAGAAGACCTCTTGATTAATGACAATTGATCAATCTATAAGGGAATTCTTAGATAGAAATTAATTGTCAGATCACCAGTATTATTAAATATTATTATTTCACATCTACTTTCAGTGACCTTCACATAAATCAAGTAGAACAAATGTAAAACTGTAGTGAAGACCTCAAAAACTGAGTTTGTTTTTAGTTGTACATATTTTTTAACTTTATATACACAGATGAGTTTGAGTTTGATTGAATGTTCTTTATTTTCTGGGTATTGATCAGGGTTCTTAGTTTCAGACGACAGAATCCAAATCAGCTTGTTTAAGCAGAAGGGGTTTTGCTAAAGAAAATAAGATAATTTCCAGACACACTGGGGTAGCTAAAGGAATGGACTGTATTTTGAACTTCTAGAAACAACTCCCAGAACCACACCTTGGAACCGGCCTGCCACAAAGCTGCCTCAGCGGTAGAAAGACAGCTGCCTCCACCACTGCAGGCCCTGTAAACCCTAATGCCCCTGGCCCACTCAGTAAGTGATAGCACCACCGACAGTCCCAGATGAACAAAATCCTTCACTACCATCCTGTTCCTATCCCCGCACCCAACTCATGCTGTCCAGTTCCTCCTTACAAGTCTTTATTCAGCATATGTGCTTGGCTGGACCTAGGTCATGTTGTACCCTAGTTATCAATAAGTCTTGGAAAGTAGTTCTAGCTACAGTAGTGTTATGCTGCAGAAAGAGTTTCATAACACAAATATAGAATTATTTTCTATTTCCTATTATTTGGGATAGAGTACAGAAGCTTTATGTTAAAAGAAATTGTGTTTATCCTTTGATGATCTTAGTTTTATTCTGTATATTTAAAAGAGTAAAATAGAAAAAAACTGATCAAGTCTGTTAATCCAAAGATGGTAATCAAAATTTTTGTATTGAAGAATAACATATCAAATAGGTACTTCTGCATTTGTCCCTGTACAATCAGATAAGTTTCATAAGAAAAATGAATCAGAAATAAACTGTTATATCATCTTATATCTATAAAGAACCTTTTAGATTTGCATTTTTATTCCCAACTTGCCTGAATGATTTTTAATATAGAAGTGTGGAAATGAGGCAGGCCTGGGTTTGGGAGGAAGGTGGCAGGAGGTTGGTGTGGACTCGTCTATGTCTGATCACTGCTAAATAGCATCGTTCTATAACTCAGCTCAAGAGAAATGTATAGTTTCAGACCATCTTTGCTGGATGCATGCCAGATACTGAAGATAGAAATTTTAGTACTTAACATTAAATGTTAACTCTTCTGAGATTATTCTGTCAGATAATTAGTCAATATAAATTGTCTTCCTATGGTGATAATATCTGACAGTCATTGAACACTTGCATGTCAGGCAATGTGCTAATCACTTTAAAAGCATTATTTCATTTAGTCCTCATAATAACCATTTAAAGAGGGTGCTAATATTATTCCCCTTTATGGGTGAAGAAAAAAATAAATCACTAAAATGTTTTACTTGTGAAATATCCCTTCTCTTTCCTGACCCAAAAAACCTTCTTGGTGAGATTGTACAAACTATTAAAGGAATACAGAGAAACCTTATGAATGAGATGTTCCAGGTGTGGAAGAAATGAGGTTGCGTGTTGCATTTGAAACAGATGTGTAACATGTTGCAAATGAAACAGATTTGAAAAATGTTTTTCTCAGCCAGTAGTCTAGCAGTTGTTGGGAGGAAGAGGGAAAGAGAATGTGTATGATCAAAGTGCACTCCTCCTCAGAGATAGGACTGAGAGATTTATTTGATAAAATAAGTCACATATCCCATTCTCTTTGCAGCAGAGAAAAAATAGATCTTTGAAATTTTTTTCTTCACCTTTTCAAAGTAAGCTTATAGTTGTTTGGTGAAGTATCTACATTTCTTGGAAACTTCCTTCCCAGCATGCTTACTCGCATGAGCCTGACATGAGTAAGATGTTGTGGTCTAATGCTTTTATTATGTTTTCATTATTTGTGAGTCCCAACTATCCACCCATATCTACTCTATCTTGTGCTGTTTGACGTGGTGCCAACTCCTTGCACTCTTCCCCACCAGCCGTCTGGAGCGATGTGCAAGCTCAGGCTCTGAGGCTCCTTTTGAAGAGAGAGATTATTCGCCTGGATACGTGGAAATAATCCATAAGAAAGGCATTAAAAAGGATGAGTGCCTAATTGAAACTGTGTTTCTCCTTTATATAGCCAGAAGAATTAGTGAAAATACTAAAAATAAAGAAGAATGCCTAGTAAAGAGATGGAGAAAGTTACTTTGGGGAGGAGAGGTGTGGCTGTTTTAGATAGAGTGAAGAAACAAGTATCCGGTTTTATACTGCTAAGTACAAACCTTCGCATATATTAAATGCTTTGTTTCTTGTGCTTGAAACTTGAATGCGTAGCTAAAAAGTTAAGACAATTTCTCTGAGTAGTTAAACCCGTTTTAAAGATATGTATGACCGTTTGTTTCTTAATGAGATTCTAAATTTATGGCGTAATTAAAATAGTAGAGGAAATTGGATTTTTCAAAGTAACACGGTGCTAAGAACACCTCCTTTGCATTTACTTTCAATAGCATTTGTGCTATAGACCAATAGTGTTTTTAGATGGCTTTCCCAAGTTTGTTAGAACCTTTAATGGAAAAGCATCTTTTCTTTGCAGTCTCCCCACCAACACAGATACATGCATACATACACACACCACAGAATAAATTTAATAGGATTTTTAGTTTAATGTTTTAATGCATTTAATACATTAACAAACTTTGTGTTTTTGGGTATTTAACATGATGTGATATTTATATGTAAACATCTTGAGTCTTCACTGTCTATAATGGTTAAAAGATAATTTTCCAGTGAATACTAGTAACACATACATAGCAATTTTCTGAGCATTTTTTACTGTATCGTATGATGTTATTGACAGTTCAGGTCAAATCATCTTTGTTTTTATGATGGGGTGTGAAGGTTTAGTTAGCACTTGGCTATCTATCATATCAGCCTGCCTAACCTTGCAGTAAATGAACAATTGAAGTCCATTGTTTTTATGGAAAGTTTATTATAGGTGTTCAAAGCAAATGGTTTAAGGCTACACAGTTTAGAACTAATATGTGTTATTTTTTGAGTTCTAGTTTATTTTTAATGTCAGTTATGTAATTGTATAATGTTCTCTAACTCTATGTTCTAGCAGCATTTATCTTGGCATCTGTCTATAAAAGCTCCTTAAAGATATAGATGAACATCTTTTTTCATGATCCTAGGTATACATTAAATGATTTTTCATACTGCCGTTTATATAGCAAATGAATTGTTTACCTTAAAAATGTAAATATTTAAGGTGGTTTTCTCAGATTACATACTCACATGCATAAATAATATCTTTGACATGTAAAGGTTTTTATTTGATACATCATTTCTTAAAGCAATCATTTTATGTCTTAATTTCAGCATTATATTTTCTTTCTTTTATTCTGCCTCTCTATTAGCATGTACTGGAATGACAACTGGTTCAGCAGTGTTCAGTTTGTATAAACTTTCCTTCATGTGTTTTTAAACCTCATTTAATAAAGAATGTTATTTTTCATAGGCATTTTTCTTTTACTATAGTTAAATTAAAGATGAGCTAATGGATTAAATAAAAAACAGC